GTGGGGGGGGGTGGGGGGGGGGGGGGGGGGGGGGGGGGTGGGGGGGTTAAAGCTGATTTAAAAGCCAGGCGGCTCCCCCGGTGCTGAGACCTCCTCATTTTCTCTTCCTCCATTAGAAGAGGTGATGGCAGGATCTCCACCTCCAGGCTGCAGTGTCTTGATTTCTGGACAGGTTCGGTCTGGAACCCACTTCATTTGATGACGGACTCTTCTTCCTGCGCTTGCTCCTAACAGGTTGTCCGAGCAGCTTTGTGAACAAGGTGTTCAACCCAAGTCATCCACATGCTGGGTCCTATTTGTGATCTGGGCATACTGTCAAAAACTGTGGTTTTTAGAGCAGAACCCAATAGTGCAGGCAGGACTAGGAGACCAGGTGGTAAAGATGAAAACACCTTAATAAAGGAAAATAAACAAGCTGATGTGGCAGCTGAACTCACATTACTGAAAGACACATAAAAATCATAAGGAAGCACTAGGAACTCAGCCATATCATGCCCAGACAACAAATAACACAAAGACTCAGACTTATATTCACAGACTAAACGAGACACAACCACAAATGCCTGGACAGGACATGCAGGTGACACAGATAAGGATTAATTATTAGAATGGGACACCAGAGAGTGCAGAGGCAGAAACCAGCCACCAGAGGGCAACATCCTGACAGTATCACAGAACTGACGAATAATCTGTCTGCATCTTTGTGATAATGATCATGAGTTATTGTCCCCTCTTGCAGAGCAAAGAAGCAACGTGGAAATATCCTCCATCCATCCTCCTTGTGAGCTGGATAACTTGAAAAATAAGTAATAAGTAATGTGCCAGCTTCCATGTGCATGTGTAGTACATGTACAAAACTATGCTTTCTAGTTTATATATTGGTTAAAAGTATATCTTCCTAAAATGATTGGGTTAACTCGTGGGGTGGCCAGAGATTAATCTACGATGGCCAAGGCCATTATTAGCCAAACCCTGACTCTGCTATTGAGCTTGATGGTGGATAAAATTGTTCCCTCCACTAGTCAGTATCTGTCATTCTGCACTGCCTTGGAAAATAAAATTTAAAAAGCACCTCTCTCTGTTTTTCTCCACAGTGTATCAAAAAAAAAAAAAAGGTTTACTTGCATTCTCTGTTCAATTTCAGACCAGAAGAGCAGTCATCTCAAAAACTACAAACATTCACTATTCAAATCCCTCAAAGATGGGAGACATTGGTGCATCCCTTGTTTTCAAATAAGAATAGTAATATCTCCAATTCTGACTGAGCCTTTTGTGTGTGCTCATAACTCACTGGTTTTGACTGTTTTGGATGTTTGGGGTCCTCTGGTGTTGTTCTTGATGATGTTGATGGAGACCTCATACTCCTGACCTGGTCCTAGCCCAGACTGGAAGTATTGGTTTTCAGCGGACTGAACAGTATTGACGACTTTTCCATTTTCTTCTTTCTGCAGAGACACATTGGGATGACGTGATGTGAGAGACTGCATAAAGGAGTTCACTTTATTTTGAGAAAACTAATTTATGACACAAAATCATAATGTTTTACATGCAGTGGGACCTGAATAACTTCTTTCAGCTTTTCTCTCCTCAGGGGTTGCCACAGTGAGTCAACCTCCTCCATCTCACTTTGTCCTCTGCATCCTCTGTCCTCATTATAACTACCTTTATGTCCTCTCTAACTGCATCCATATATCTCCTCTTTGGCTTTTTCATGGCAGCTGCATTTCTAACTTCCTTCTACCAATATCTCTCAAGCTTAAATTAATCAGGTTGGTGTTTAAGTTTTGTTTAAGAAAATGAGAATTAATAAACTACAACAGAGAGTTACAAACTAACACTGCATCTTATAGCGAGAGGATAAAATGTGTTTAAATTAACTGTTCACAGTTTGATATTTGAAAGATAAACATTAAGAGGTCCTAAGTTGTACTGGATGGCATATAACTTCAAATACTTGCTCAGACAAAACAGATTTGCACTTTTAACACAGAAAACAGCAGTTGTAAGACATAAAAAAACAGTTCTATGTTAAAAAGAAATGAAAAGGTTGCAGCGTCTGTATAAACTAACAAATCACAGCAAATGATCTTCAAATCACACGTTATCTAAAGCAAAAATTAAGAATAAAACCTCAGTGTAGCTGAGCTAAAAAATACTCTGAGTGGGATCATTTAAAAGCATATCTGTTTGTTTTTCACTCTTAGTTTAAATTATTTTTGCAGTGGATGTAACGTTTTCTTTATTAATTTCCTTAATGCTTACCTGAATTATTTTAACATAAAACTGCTCCTAAACTCAAGAGATGAACCAAAGTTATGTTCACACATAAAAGACAACCTAGAAAATATTTTTTTTATTTAAATCTTTAGGCTCTTTTTATTTCATTTAACCTTTATTTATAGTCTCATTGAGTCATGAGGACTCATTTTCAAGAAAGACCTGTCTTTGTTATTTGAAGCCTGTCACAACAATTTGGTCCCGTTTCCTCAGTTGAACTTATGAAAAATCTAAAAGATTATACAGTCTGACAAGTAGAAAATAGGATTTTGGCGCCAAGAAAGTGATTCCCAAAAAGCTATTAGCTGAAAATGGAACAATAATACATTTCTCAGGTTTTTGCTGGATTGTTTCTGTTTCTGAAAAACATGACCTTCAGATACTGTCAATCTGCTGGAGATGGATTATATTTATGATTTTTAGGTCAGTCACTTCTTTTTTTAAAACTTGACAGGCTCAAAGAAGGTGGAGGCCTAAATTTCTCCTAATGTAAACATGTTTAAGGCTTAATGGCAGGCTGACATTTGTTCATTATGAGAGGATCGAAATTATTTGGGCAAGTGGAATATAAATCGTCTTCATAATTAATTGTTTCCATAAAATTTTGCAGACAGTGGACCCCCTTCAACATAAAACTTAAGCTGCTTCCTTTGCAGTTGCATCAGTTTTTGCTTCTGACATGCATTTCCCAGATAGCAAAGAAATAGAGTGTACCAATTTCAGCCAAAGGAATCCAAAGGTCAGAAAAAGGCCAGCGTTTTTAAAGTTGAGCGAAACGTTGACGGAGGCGACTAAATGAAAGGCTCTGACTTATCAGCAGGCACAGCCATTTGTTTTCAAAGCCTTTCTGCCACGGATTCTGAAGAGTGGATTTAGCATCAGCTTTCTGACATCTTGATTTGCCTTCAGTGAGGTCCTTTGTCAAAGAAAATTAAATGGTTAGCACTGAAATAAATCTAGGTTTTAGTGAATCTTCTGAAAAACTGACATAGTCCATCATCTCCCACTTTCCTACGAATGTTAATAAAATGGGGAAAAGCCTTCAAAGAGACGGGTAGACAAACCGTGTTTCGGAAATGGATCTCCCAGGCATCAAAGGAGATGTCAAGTTGGTCCCACATAACCTCTACAGAGGTCTCCTTCACTGATTTAAATCTCAAACCTTCTGGCTGTGGAAGCTCTGTGAATATAGACGGTAAAACAAATAAAAATGTGTTATTTGACAAGATATTCTCAGTGAACTAGCACAGAAACGTGCTGTACCTGTAGCCACTCTTGCACTGACAGGAATGCTCTTTTTGTTGCTCAGGATAGCGTAGACATTGATCAGGTACTCAATGCCAGGTTCAAGCTCTTTAACAGAGGCGGCTGTTTGGTCTCCAGGCACAATGAATTCCATTAAAAGACCCCCAGGACTGGTGGGCACATATGTGACAAGGTATTCTGTGACCAGCATCTTGTTGTCCCAGGATAGGTCCACAGTGTCTGTGCTGACCTCACCAATCTTTAAGTCCTTTGGAGGTGACACTGGAAATATTGAAAATAACAAAAATATTATAAAATAAATAATAAATGTTGAGGGTGTTATCTCAAGTGGTTTATCATGTCCTGAATGACTGAATATCTACCACATAGCGTGCTGTTGGTGCTTAGCGTATTCTTAGTCTTGTGTATTCTTAGTTTAGTGAATGTAGTATATTCATAGTTCATGACTCGGATCTTACTAATGTTTTTCTTTACAATTTGTGTTTTTGTTGGATGTAACTGGGACCCTGTGTACATAGTTTTGTCCCACCTCATGTACCACATGTGGTGTGTATGACAAATAAATCTCTCTGACTCTGACTTTGATATAGTGCTAAATTCAGGCACAGCTGGTCCAAAGGACAACAATGGGTACAGCTCCACCTAAAAAATGAATTTGCCCCACAAAATAGTTCCTCGGAATGAATGACGCAAATTACTTATTTACTGAGGTTGCTGTATATGGTTTTGTTCTGTGTGTTTTTAGTGTGTTTTTCAACTATTTTGACATGTTTTAATGGAA